GTGCCACTGGACCCTACCGGACACCTACTACATTAGGCCACACTACCAAGACACCGAGTCAAAGTAGCTCTACCCAATACATAGAAACAAACATAGAGAGGCTGCCAAAACGAGGAGACAAATAAACATGGCCCACATGAAAGAACAAATTTAAACTCCAGAGAAAGAGCTAGACAAAATGAAGATAAGCAATCTGTCAGATGCAGAGTTTAAAACACTGGTTATAAGGATGGTAAAGGAACTTAGGACCTCGGCAGCATAAAATAGATCCAGTCAGAAACAGAGGATACACTAATTGAAATAAAGAACAATTTATAGGAAAGCAACAGTAGAATGGAAGAAGCCAAGAATCAAATCAATGATTTGGAACATAAGGAAGCAAAAAACAACCAATTTGGGCAACATAAAGAAAAAGGAACCCAAAAAAACCAAGGATAGTATAAACAGCCTCTGGGACAACTTCAAGAGGTCCAATATTCGTATCATAGGGGTGCCACAGTGAGAGGAGAGAGAGCAAGAAATTGGAACTCTATTTGAAAAAATAATGAAAGAAAACTTCCCTAATTTGATGAAGGAAATAGACATGCAAATCCAGGTAACACAGAGTGTCCAACATAAGGTAGGTGCAAAGAGGCCCACTCCAAGACACATCATAATTAAAATGCCAAAGGGTAAAGAGGAAGAGAGAATTGTAAAAGCACCAAGAGAAAAGCAGTTAGTTACCTACTGGAGAGTTCCCATAAGACTGTCAGCTGATTTCTGAAAAGTAACTTTTCAGGCTGATAGGGATTGGCAAGAAATATTCCAAGTCATGAAAAGCAGGGACCTACGGCAAAAATTACTGTACCCAGCAAAGATATCATTTAGAATCAAAGGGCAGATAAAGAACTTCCCAGACAAGAAAAACCTAAAGTTGTTCATCATTGTCAAACTATTATTATATGAAATGTTAAAGGGAGTTACTTAAGAAAAAGGAGACGATCAAAACTATGAACAGTAAAGTGGCAATAAATACAAATCCATAAAATATTGAATCTAAAAACCAAACTATGCTAACAAGAAGAACATATATTGAATCATGTATACAGGGAGCATTTTGATGATCAAAATTATGAACATTAAAATGGCAATAAATTCATAACTATCAACAATTAAGTCTAAAATAAGCAAACAAGCAGAACTGAAACAATCATAAATATGGAGATCATTTGGAGGGTTATCAGTTGGGTGGGGAAAAGGAGAAAAGGGGGAAAATGCAGGGACTAAGAATACAAATTGCTAGGTACAGAATAGTCAGGGACATGTTAAAAACAGTACAGGAAATGGAGTTACATGCATGACTCATAAACAATGAATAGAGAAAAGGCATTTAACAAAATTTAACATCCATTCATGATTTAAAAAAGAAATCTCATGGGAAATGAGAATAATGAGGAAGTTGCTTAATTTAATAAAGAGCATCTATATAAAAGCTACAGATAACATTATACTTAGTGATGAAATACTAAATCCTTTCCACCTAAGATTGGGAAAAAGGAAAAATTGTTTTTTCTTACTGATTGTATTCAGATTGTGCTGGAATTTTGAGAGATCCAAGAAAATGGGGACTAAGTGGAAGCTACACTAATCCCCTCCCAGGACCAATCTGAAATTACAACTAAATTGTAAATAAATCATCCAGAACAAACAGCTGAACAATAGCAGGAGAGAAGCCTTATAACCATGGACAGACAGAAGAAACAGCTGCACCACAACATGACTGGCATGGAATGCAGAGGAGTCGTGAGAGGGCCGGCTGGGCTCCCACAGGTGGCAGCTGAAGTGCTAGAGGTATATTTCAGTGGCCGGAGGGTTTCCCTTGAGAAGTGTGGGTATTAACCCCAAGCCGGGCTCCCCAGCCTACAGCATGAGAACCCAAAAAGAACTCCGATAACATCTAGCTGTGAAAAGTGGCAGGGTTTCTCTCTGCCAGAGACAGACTGCTGGAGTCACAGAAAGCCTTTTAAAGGGCCCATACATAAAATTCATTTACAGCCACTTACCCTGGGCGCTAGCAGAGCAGGAGCAGAGTGCACTAGAGACAACTGAAGAATGACTGGGGATGGTGACTCAGGGAGCAGCCACCAGGATCCTGGTGCTAAGTCATCCACCACACTGCAGGACCATCTTGCCCAGGCAGACTACTCCCCTCCAAGTGGCATCAGCAGGAGGGGTAGCAATAGCCCCACCTGCATGAATTACTCTGCCCCACCCTGTGGTGCTTACTCCTGACTGCTGAGGACAGAGTAACTAGATTAACAACTGAAGGAGTCAGCCATAGACTGTGGACCCCTGGTAGTCTCAAACAGACTGCCTAAGGCCAGACTGGGACGCCATCTGACATCATCAGAGGCAGATCCAGAAATAAAAAACAGTGCACCTGTACAACAGCATACAAGACATGATGGTGGAGTAATTCTCACTCAGCCAGCTGAAGGGAAGGACCCACCAAAGAATAACCCAACAACAATCAAAACCAACCAAATCCAGAGAGCCAAAACAAATGGCATAAAGGGCATCCCAAGAGCATCCATTCAGGAGATCAGGGAGACTGCACACTGAATCCCACAGGTCTCCTACCATAGAAGGTCACAGCACAAAGACAGGGAGTTAAAGCAAATCAATCTAAGAAGCAGAAATAAACAAGAAGTGTACCTAAAGTGGGGAAAGAAATAAAAATAAAAACCAAACTACTCAAACAAGAAGAATAGAGACAGAATCACGCATACAGGGAGCATTTTGATGGTTGCAGGATGGAAGAGGGTGTAGGGGAATGGGTGAAGACGTGAAGGGATTAAGAAGTAGAAATAGGTAGTTACAGAATAGGCATGGGAATGTAAAGTACAGTATAAGAAATGGAGTAGCAAAAGAACTTAAACGCATGACCCATGGACATAAACAGTGGTGGGGAGATTGCCTGAGGGAGTGGGGGGGTGCTGGATGGGAGAGGTCTAAGGGGGAAAAATCAGGACAACTGTACTAGCATAATCAATAAAATATAATTAAACAGCATGTATATATAGAAAGAAATATGAAAAAGTGTATGTGTATGTATGGGTTAGTATAGGTACATATGTTTCCCAGTGTTTTCTGAGAGGACCAAAAACTACAAGTAGAGATACCACTTTAGCAAGAGTTTTATTTCGAGATCTTGTTTTCTAAACAATTCTCCAATAAAAAGAAACTAGAGTCACTGGAAAAACGGCTGATTCTAGGGCAAGGGCAGAGAAAGTACAAGATGCCCTTGTGGAAGCCTCTTCTGTGCCCAAAGGTAGATGTCCCTTATTCCAACACCATTTGTTGAAAAGACCATCTAATCTCTATTGTGTTGCCTTTATTCCTTTATTAAAGGCCAGTTGACGGTATTTATGTGGGTGTATTTCTGGGCTCTCTATCCTGTTCCATTGATGTGTCTTCTTTTTCTTTCTTTTCTTTCTTCTTCTTCTTCTTCTTTTTTTTTTTTTTTGCTAATACCACTTTGTCTTCATCACTATATCTTTAGAGTAAGTCTTGAAGTTGGATAATATCAGTGTTCCAACTTAGTTTTTCGCCTTCAATATTGAATTGGCCATTCTGTCCAATTTTGCTTCTCCATATAAACTTTAGAATCAGTCTGCTGATACCTCTAAAATAACTCTCTGTGATTTTGTTTGGGATTGTGTTGACTCTAGATTAAGCTGAGAAGAACTGATCTCTTGACAATGTTGAGTCTTCCTATCCATGAACTTGGACTATATTTCCATTTATTTAGTTCTTTTTTTTATTTTGTTCATCAAAATTTAGTAGTTTTCCTCATCTTGTACATACTTTCTTAGATTTATACCTAAATATTTTTTGTTGCTAATGCAAATGATATTGTGCTTTTAATGTCAAATTCCACTTGTTCATTGCTGTTAAGTAGGAAAGCAATTGATTTTTATATATTAACATTGTATCCTGCAACCTTGCTATAATCACCTATTATTTCCACAAGTTATTTTCATTGTTGGTTCTTTCGCATCTTCTACATAGGCAGTCATGTCATCTATGCACAAAGACAGTTTTCTTTATTTCTTCCCAATGTGTATTTGTTTTATTTCCTTTTTTGGGTCTTATTGCATTAACAAGCATTTCCAGTGTGGTTTGGAAAAGGAGTAGTGAGAGGAGATGTTCTTAACTCGTTTGTGATTTTAGCAGAGAAGCTAGTTTCTTACCAGTGAATATGAGGTTAACTGTAGGTTATTTGTAGATGTTATTTGTAAAGTTGAAGAAGTTCCCCTTTACTCCTAGTTGTTGAGAGTTTTTATCATGAAAGAGTATTGGATTTTGTCAAACTAATTTTCTGTATCGATAGCATCATGTGATTTTTCTTATTTATTCTGTTGATGTGATGGATTACATTAATTGATGCTCGAATGTTGATCCAGCCTTGCATACCTGGAATAAATCCCACTTGTTCGTATTATAAATCTTTTTATGCATATTGTTGGATTCAATTTGCTAATATTTTGTTGAAAAATTTTGTGGATATGTTCATGGGTGGCACTGGACTGTTTTACTCTTTTGTAATACGTTTGTCTTGTTGCAGTATTAGGGCAGTGCTGTCCTCATAGAGTTAGGAAGTGTTCTCTCTCTGCTTTATTCTCCTGGAAGATACTGTAGAGAATTTGTTTGTTAAATTTCTTCCTTAAATATGTGGTAGAATTCACCAGTTAACATATTAAGGCCTTTTTTTTTTTCTGTTTTTCGATCGTTATTATTGATTCAATTTCTTTAATAGATAAAGGCCTATTCACATTATCTGTTTGTTTTTAGTTGATTTGCTTGGATAATTTAAGTTAATGATTTAATATTAGATCGTTACATTTTATTATACTTTTAGAGTCGTTAAAATACTTTGAGTACTCCATGCTAAATTATCTTAAATTTGTTTGTGTGTCTTCTTATGAGGCATTAATACAAACACAACTGTTTTTTTCCAGCCTAGTGTGTTAATTGTAACCTACAAGGAACCTGCAAAATCATCTTCTCAGTTTGGATCCTACAAACAAGCTGAATGGAGGCCAGACAGTACAATGATAGCTGTGTCAGTAAGTAGATTTTTCTTATGAAATCATTATATTGCATTAAAACTTGATTTTCTTAGGTGACTTCTTTTCAGGCGTTCAAACCCACTAGCATTTACCTCCTGTGATTAAAAATTGCTGAACCAAATGTTCTATTCAGGTTATTTTTACTATATCTTTTTTCTTGATTCTGCTACTTCTTCCACTTCTAAAGGTAGTGCCTATATCCTTTTCTGTTTATTCTTCTCACTTTCCTGTTTTGTCCTTGAAATCTATGTAATCCAGATTTTTAAAGCTCTCCTCTATATTCAAACAGTACTTGTCAATTTGTACAAGTCCTGCCCTCCATTCCCAAGGACATCTCACAAAAATTATAAACTTTGTGTTTATGTCATACTAAATTCTCATCTGCATTTGGATCTATTTCTACTTTTTTTTGTTGTTGTTGTTCCCTTAATGTTCTTATGTCTGGTTAATTTTACCTTTTCAATTTATGTTTTGCCACTGTCATCTTTTAACTGTTGTCATTAACTAATTTTAGTAAACATTGTATATATGGTTTAACATTTAGTGAGCACCTCTTATATAACTACTTCTATCACTATAACTAGTTTATGTGGATCATTTCATTTAATCTTTAAGTCAATACTTTGAAGTAGATACAATTATCCTTCATAGTAGATAAGTATTTTGAGACTGAGAAAATAAGTTTTATCCAAAGTTAAACAGATAGTGTATATTAAAGAGAAGGAATTTAATCCCAGGTACTCAGATTCCATTTACTGTACTCTTAACAACTACACTAATTTATCTGTTATCTGTCCTTTTCTAGTTCATACAATATAATGCAGACTGGATTAATCATCTGAAAATGATCAACATGGTCAAATATATTACGTAGTTTCTCTTCCCACAGTAGGGGTCTTGCAGACTACCAGCTACACACCAGATCTACCCTGCTGCTTGTTTGTGTATGAACCATGAGCTAAGAATAGTTTTATGTATTTAAATGATTGAAAAAATCAAAGAGGGATAATATATTTGGCAATTGAGAATTACATGAAATGTAAATTTCATTGTTTATAAATAACATTTCTCAGAGCATGAAAATGCTGATTTATTTACATATTGTCTATGGCTGCTTTTAAGCCGCAACGGCTGACTTGAGTAGTCCTGACAGTGATACTAACACTTCCACACTCTCTTTCCTGCTCAGTACCGTATAAGCTCAGTGTTTCAGGTGCCCTGCATATCTTCATATTGTGATATTTTATATTATTTTTATTAGTAGTGCATACTTACTATGTCACAGAAGGGAAAAATAGATTTTGGTGTGTGGATTATTCTAATATTGAATTAGATGGCAAAAAATTTTGTTACACAGTGACACTATAGTGAAGCCAAAAGAATATAGTTGACGTTAATCCAACCTAGTACTTAGTTAAGTATTAATCACAGTATTTCCAACTCACAGAAATTAAGTTAGAAAAATTAGAAATTTTAAAAGGAAATGTATCATTGTACCAGAAGTTCTTCACAGAAATGAAAAGTACAACCAAAGTAAGTTTGCTTGGTTCGTGATGAAGTGACAAATGTCACAGTACTGCTCAGCTTTTGATTTAAAGAATCAGTGCAGATTGTGAAATGAGAATTACTTCTTATGAATATAGCATGGGTAAAAGAACGTCAGGTGTAAAGATTTTCAAAAAAGCTGAGAAAACACTAATTCAGTACCACCTGAAGTAGAATCCATCCACTAAGGTGTGTTTTAACTGATAATAGTAAAAATACGTGTGGACCAGAAAAAGGCTTATTTATTATTTAGTTGGACAAATGTACAAAGTTTGTGCACATGTAAGTATTTAAAGTCTGTGGTTACTTTGAGTTCTTGTCAGAAATAGAAGCTGCGAATCCTGACTTGCTCAACGCTATAGCTGTCCATTGTAAAGGTTTATTGTAAATTTTTTGAGCTCAGGGGCTGAGATAGAATATTTTTTTAACTTGAAGAACCACCTGCAGACACATAGCAGACACTGAATGACTTTGGAAGATAACTTTGTATGCATACTTGGTAATGTTGCCTAATGACTTCAGTCAAAAACTACAAAACAGTGCTTATATGTGAAATGTATATATGGTGAAGTCATTTGGTGACAACTAATGTTTAAATCACAAGTTAATGTCAGACTGCTTTTCATACTTCCACTGTTTTCAAAAGTTAAGACAAAAGAAGTAAGATTTCTATTTCCAACAAAAATTAGTGGTACATAAATTTTCTGAGCCAAACTATACCATTTTTAGACCTTGGTGCAGTGGCAAAGGAAATTTCCAAATTTCAAAATCCATTTAATTATAAAAATGAGGAGCATTCCACCTAACCTTTAATTGGAAGTAATTAATTTACAATATAAGGACATGTTAAAAGGCAGACATCAAAAGAAGAGTCAAGTAGACTTCTATAATCGCCTACCAAGTGCTGCATATAGTCACTTAAAATTATATTCTCATGGACTGATACAAGTATTTGACAGTACTTGTGAGAAAAGACATTTTCAAATATGACATGTAAAATCTCATTATAGTCCCACATTAAAGAGAAGAAAGTTTGCAATCTATTCCCAATCAAAGATAGGGAACACTGACTTTAAACCCCAATTAAGCAAAAATGCTATCCCCTTAAAAATGAATTTCATTCTCTTCTTTGGATGTGTATTACAAAAAAATTTGTACTCAATTTTCATAATGATTATATTTAGAATTTTGTAGCAATAAAATCTATGAAAATTTGTTTTCCCTCTCTATTCTTTTTTTTTTTTTTTTTTATTGATTTTAGAGAGGGGAAGTAGGGGAGAGAGAACCATCAGTTTGTTGTTTCACTTACGCGTTCATTGGTTGGTTCTTATATGTCCCCTCACCAGGAATTGAACCACAACCTTGGCGTATGGGGACAACACTCTAACCAGCTAAGCTACCTGGCCAGGGCCTTAATTATTTCTTTTTATTTTTCTGTATTTCTGATACTTTGACATCTTGGAGACTTGCTGACCCTGAAGAGACTGTGACTCCCAGGGCTAGCCAATTCCTACAGATATTAAAGGACTCATCTGTTGGTGTATCTTTTATAAACAAACCAACCAATTCACAGCATATACCCCCAGCCACCTACTTTATGGGGAGCTCTTTCACCTTGGGCCACTCTTTCCCTTCCCAAATAACCCTAGGGTCAGGTACCAGGTAGTTAGAGAGAGCCTCTACACCCTCAGTAAAGGGGAGGCAGCCCATTAACTTTCTTTTTAGAGCAGAAGTAATTTCACATTAATTTATTAAACTTTTACACTTTACTAAATATTTAGAAAGCAAAGAAGGTAACTCAGCTGATGTGGCTCAGTTGGTTGGAGTGTCATTCAATAACCAAAATGTTGTAGGTTTGATTACCTACCAGGGCACATAATTAGGTTGCAGGATCGATCCCCATCTGGGTGTGTACAGGAGGCAACCAATCACTGCTTCTCTCTTTCATCGATTTTTCTCTCTGTCCCTTCCCCTCTCTCTAAAAGCAGTGAAAAAAATGTCCTTGGGTGAGGACTGGGGGGAGAAAAACAAGAAAAGAAAAAAGAAAGAAAACGATGTTAGAAGTAATTATTTCTGTCCTCAGATTGGGGAGAGATAAAAATGCACATGTGAGAGAATAAAAACAGTTTACTATTTTTGGCTATTGAAAATCTGACTTTTATTTCACTTGGTTAATGCTTATGTCTTTTTCTGAAACCTTGTGAAGATGTCATGATGAATTTAATTTTAACTACTGGAGCCTGGCTCATATTAAATATACTGAGCAAATGCTGATGGAATTCAAGTTAATTCATCTGTATTTGTATAATTTAAAACATGAATTAATGTTTTAGCTGATAGGAAATTTTTTTTATCCTTACCCGAGGACATTTTCTCATTGCATTTAGAGAGAGAGGAAGGAGGGGTGTGGAGAGGAAGAAAGGAGAGGGAGGGAGAAAAGAAAGACAGAAGCATCGATGTGAAAGAGAAACATCGATTGGTTGCTTTCTTGTACGCTCCCCAACCAGGAATCAAATCTGCAACCTGGTTAATCTGCTTTGACCAGGACTTCAGCCCTGCAACGTTTTGGTTTATGGGACAGTGCTCCAACCAACTGAGCCAACCAGCCAGGACATGCATTTTAATAATGAATAGTATCATAAGTGGACTTTATGAAAAAGACTTTTTTAAAAGTTTTACATTCACAGCAAAATTGAGGGGAAGGTACAGAAATTTTCCTTATGCTCCCTTTTCCAGCACATGCATAACCTTCCCCATTATCAACATTCCCACCAGAGTAGTACATTTATTACAGTTGATGAATATAACCCCCAAGTCCTCTGTGCTTCTCCTATTTATCTGTTCATCTCTCATAACCCCTGACAAGCAATCATCTTTTTTATTGTCTTCATAGTTTTACTTTTTCCAGAATATCATATAATTGGAACTATATATTATGTAGCCTTTTGAGATTGGCTTCTTTCATTTAGTATTTAAAGTTCATCCGTGTCTTTACATGGCTTGATAGCTCACTCTTTAGCACTGAATAATATTCCATTGTCTGGATATACTGAAGTTTTTTGGTGCATTGCCCTGTGGAAAAACGTTAGTTTTGGCTTCCAAGTTTTGACAGTTGCGTTAAAGCTGCTATAAACTTTTGTGTGCATGTTTTTGTGTGGACATGTTTTCAATCCTTTTGGCTACAACAAATAAGCATGATTGCTGGGTCGTATGTTAAGACTATGCATAGTTTTGAAAGAAACCGCCAAACTCTTCTAAAGTGGCTGTACCATTTTGTACATCAGCAATGAATGAGAGTTTCTGTTGCTCCACATCTTCGGCAATATTTGGTGTTGTCACTGGTTGGGTTTGGCCATTCTGGTAAGTTTAGGGTGGTATCTCATTTTTTTTTTAATTTGCATATTCCTGATGGCATATAGTGTGGAACATTTTTCATATGCTTTGTGCCATTT